TCATAAATATACTATTCTCAAAAGACTATCCATATAAATTGTGCCGGTGAAGTGCAACGCAAATGGACCATGCTGGGTCGGGTCAAGTACATACCAAATATAGTTATGGACTTAGACATTAATCCAACATTCTTCTCGCATGGCTTTATCAGGAGTTCGCACATCTGTTCAAGGCTGGCACCAGAGACTAGCACACCCACATGAGCCCCTGTTACGCAAACTCATTTCATCATTTCAGCTTCCGGTTTCTTCTAATCAATTTCCTAATGTATGTGACTCCTGCCAATTAGGCAAGAGTCACCGTTTGCATCTTCCTGTTTCCCATAAAGATTCATTATCGCCATTTGATCTAGTGTACTCCGATGTATGGGGACCATCCCCTTTATTTTCAATAAATGGCAATCGATATTTCCTACTATTTGTTGATGATTATTCAAAATATGTGATTTATTTTCTCACTAACAAATCCCAAGTTTTTTCCACGTTTGTCCAGTTTAAACAAATGATCAAGACTCAATTTAACAGGGACATTAAAGCCCTTCAGTCTGATTGGGGTGGCGAATACCGAAATGTATCTACCTTTCTTCGTGCTCATGGCATTAACCATCGTGTTTCTTGTCCTCATACACAGGAACAAAATGGGGCTGTCGAACGCCGTAACCGCATTATCGTTGAGAAAGGTCTCACTCTACTCGCACAATCTTCTCTTCCACAACCTTTTTGGGAGCATGCCTTCAAAACAGCCACGTATCTTCATAACCGGACCATCACTCCCCTGTTGCAATTTCAGTCTCCCTACCAGAAATTGTACAACACAATTCCGGATTACAAGTTTTTAAAGACGTTTGGCTGCCTCTGCTATCCCTTCTTGTGACCCTATAACTCTCATAAACTCGACTTCCGATCCTTACCTTGCATATTTCTTGGGTACAGTCCAACACACAAAGGTTACCTGTGTTATCATCAGCCCTCTTCCCGTATTTATGTCTCTAGACATGTTGTATTCAACGAAGCTGTTTTCCGATACTTAACCACACCCACATCAGCTTCCTTATCCACTCCCACCACATCATCTCCAATCAATTCCGATTTACTTGCACAAGCAGCAAATCTTTCACCACCGTCATCACCTATCATGCCCTCCGCTTCATCTCCCATCCACAGTCCTGATATTCCAGGACCCATTCCCTCCCCTACACCCCATTCCCCTCCTCCCATCCCCTCTCCTACTCCATCATCACCTACCCATAATCCACCACCACCTCCCACACACTCTCCTTCCTCCCTACTCAACCTTCTACCTCACACTATCGTCCCGCTCCACACAAAACACATCCAATGGTTACTCGTGCCTCCACCAATTCTCTTAAGCCCGGAATCTTCCATACATCCACCGATTCTGATTATGAACCACATCTTTTTTCTCAAGCTATTAAAATACTGTGTTGGCAACAAGCTATGTAAAACGAATACAATGCTCTTAAGAGAAATGACACATGGTCTCTTGTTCCTTGTCCTACTAATGTCAATGTAGTTTGATGTAAATGGATTTTCAGGATCAAACGACGTGCAGATGGTACTATTGAACGCCATAAAGCCCGCCTTGTGGCTCAAGGATACACCCAAGAAGCTAATGTTGATTACTTTGAAACCTTCAGTCCGGTGATCAAGCCTACTACCATCCGTCTGGTTCTGTCCATTTCCCTCTCTCAAGGCTGGACGCTTCGACAACTGGACATCAATAACGCGTTCCTAAATGGCGATCTCAACGAAGTTGTGTACATGAAATAGCCCCGTGGCTTTGAAGATCCCACCAGACCCGATCATGTTTGTCGCCTTCACAAGGCTCTCTATGGGTTAAAGCAGGCTCCGAGAGCTTGGTTCACCAAACTAAAGACATATCTCAATACACAGGGCTTCACTGCCTGCAAATCCGATACCTCGCTGTTTGTTCACATAAGTCCCACAACCACCATTTATGTCCTAGTTTATGTCGATGATGTCATTATTACAGGTAACAATGCAGTCAAAATTCAGCAATTCATTCATCAGTTACACAAGAACTTTGCACTGAAGGATCTGGGTTCCCTGCATCATTTTTTGGGACTTCAAATTACACCTACAGCCACTGGTTTGGATCTTTCTCAACATCGATATATCATGGACATTCTCCACAAAAGCAAAATGGCAGACGCCTCTCCACTTAATACCCCAGCTGATCCTGTTTCACGCTTGTCCCCTGATGGCGATCCGTTTCATGATCCAACACTGTTTCGACAGATCATGGCTCACTACAATATGCTACTATCACAAGACCTGACATTGCCTTTGCCGTCAACCGGGTCTGTCAGTTCATGCACTCTCCAACAATTCAGCACTGGCAAGCAACCAAACGCATTCTCCGTTACCTGAAAGGAACTGCCACTCACTGCCTTCACTTTTCTCCAACAAAGGCTGACTCACTTCTAGCATATTCTGATGCAGGTTGGGTTTCAAATCAAGAAGACAGCCGTTCTCAATATGGGTACACTATATTTCATGGACCAAATCTCATCAGCTGGACTTCTCGGAAGCAAAAAGTTGTTGCTCGATCAAGCACTGAAGCAGAATATCGAGCCTTAGCATATATCACCGCTGAATTGTTATGGCTCAAACACTTGATTCAAGAACTTCAGGAACCCATAACCAAACAACCAATGCTTCTATGTGACAATGTCGGGGCTATCTTCATGAGTAAAAATCCGGTTATCAGCACCAGGTCAAAACATATCGCTTTAGATTTTCACTTCATCCGTGAATAAGTGGAAAATGGTACTCTAAATATCTGCTATATCTCCTCGGTTGATCAGTTGGCGGACATTTTCATAAAGCCTCTCGCACGCGATCGAGTCCACATGCTACGATACAAGCTTCAAGTCCGTCCCACACTTCAGCTTGCCGGGGGGTAATAACATGTGCACTGAAGAATTCAAGATGTAGTACCGAGTCTTTAGCTTACCATCAGTTAGTGCCATATAATTAGGCCTGTATTTCTTTCTTCTTACTGTATAAATACATGTACATCAGTTGTATTTACAATTCAATGAAATACACTTTACAGTAGCATTTACATATCGATTATAGAAACAACTCCGCCGGTAAAACGAAGGTTGTGCTGTTAGGTCCAAAATTCGCAAAGAAGGTCAGCCCATAGAGACCGGCGAACACCCATCTGTTTTCTTTAGTCGCGAGGTAATCGTATTTTATTCCCATTATGAACATGAAAACCGACATCATGAAGAAGCCCATCAGCTGGATGTAGAACCGGCCTATTTTCTCAATGAACGGCACCGTGAACCAGTATCCCGGAAAAGTACCAAACATGGCGATTATGAACATAACACGTGAAGTCAAGAACATTTCTTCAAGAGCGTTGACGTCATTGGCCTTCTTTGTCAAACCCATCACCGAAAAAATATCTTTTTGGGTCAAGTTTTGACCATAAAATGCAATGTCCAACAAGAACCAAGTGCTCATTGTTCCGATAAAGTGACGTCCATGCCGCTTATAGAACTTTCTTGACCGGATAGGGTAGTCGTTGTTTGCCTTAAACATAGCCAATTTCTCTTGCTCCTCTTGGATTTCAATATCCAAGACCCGACCCATATCTGATGCGGCTTGCTTCGCATTTCCCACGATAATGGCGGTATACCTCCCGGTTTCCGGCATCTTCATACGCCAGTAGTATGTCAAAAGAGCCGGCAGAGCTCCGAGCATGAGGACAATTCTCCATGCGAAATCGGTGTTCCTCTGTGTGGAAAGCACATTATCCTCATGGAATGGAGGTGCAGGGTTGGCTGTTAAGAAAAGATGAGACACAATCATGGAAACTAGACCGACGAAAATAATTCCTACTCCTTGCATGACAAACACGGCGGCGATAAACGACCCTCGGGTGTTCTTGTTTGCATACTCCGACATGATGGTGGCGGAGAGAGGGTAATCCCCACCAATCTCAAATCCAAGCCAGAATCGGAAGAAACGAAGGGTACCAATCACAGCTTTCGGACTGTAGCCAAAAGATAAACCGGAGCAGAGGGCACAAATCACCATCAGAATCAAGGTGATGTCGTACACCCTTTTCCGGCCGAGCTTATCACCAAGCCACCCAAATACCAGTTGTCCAGCTAGGGTTCCAATAAGGGCTACTCCGGTGACGACGTTGTTGATGTTGGTTGGCAGTTTTCCGGGGTCTGTGGAGTTACCATCGGAGAAGTAAAGACGACCCAAGAGCTTGGAAACGATGGAGATACAAAAGAGATCGTAGGCATCGGTGAAGAAACCCATTCCTGCGATGACAATGGCTTTGACATGGTACCATTGAGTGCGAGCTGTATCGAGTGCTTCTAGTACTGATAGGTTATTGGAAGTCATTTTCTTTTTATGTCTTGGAGATTCAAACAAAGTCTTGACTTATTTCGAGTTGTTTGAGGTTTCGGCTTTATATATACATGAACAAGGAACAATAATGTGTTAGTTGATAGATAACGATTATAACTATAGGTTGATTCGAATTATTAAGAATATCCATGACTAATGTCTCGTAAATTTCAAAGGATAAGTTGGATTATTGGTGACAAAATTCATTAATCCTTAAGTTGGGTTTAATCTATCACTTTTGGCATAAAAATAAATTTGATTTATCCATTAATTTGATTTATCCATTAATTAAATATTTATAATACTTGCTGGTAAAACGTCATAAACCATCGTCGAATGATTCGTAATTTTAATGGTTGTTATATAAAAAAAAATATTAATATTATTGTAGAATTAACTTTGTAAAAATTAAAGTAATCATTTAAAAGATATTTCGAATAAAAAAAACTATCATATTTAATTTGGTGCAAAATAAGAATATTCAAGGCTACTTTTCTTGTTTTGTCGGATATGGAGTTTGAAGTGAGAATATACGCCACAATTACTTTGACACTTGGGTGCGTTTAGTTGGCAAGAAAGGAATGAAATTCGAGGGAAAATGATTCCAATTTCCTCGAATTCATGCGTTTGGTTGCACTTAGAGGAGAGAAAAGGATTCCTAAATGAAATAAACTTACCATATGGTGGAAAGTGAATTCCTTCCAAAGTTGGATGAAAAATATTCCTTCTCATCAAAGAAAGTGGCAGATTACAAAAATATCATTTGTACTTATCAAAAACCCCACCACTACTACCACCACCACCACCATCACTATCATTAACCACCACCACCGCCGCTACCGCCGCCGCCACCACCACCACCGCCACCGCCACCACCACCGCCACCGCCACTACCACCATCGCTGCCACCGACCACCACTACCACCGCCATGACCACCATCGTCGCCGCCACCACCACCCACCATCACCGCCGCTGCCAC